ATTATTTATGAAAATCATCATCATATTCCAGTGCAACAGAAAAAACTTCAGGGAGCATTCTGTTTCTGTGAGTTTATATTATTGAACAAATTTTAGGAAGAAATAAGCATTGAAATAGCTCATAAATTGTGTGTTAAAACATAATCAATATTTGTATTCATGTTTGGGCATAAAAAACACACAAAGAAAGCCTCGTAGAATTTATTTCTGCTTAGACACTTGTACTTTGGCCTTCAAAATGTGTCAGTTTTAATTTAAGATTGGTGTTTAATATGGAATATGGAGATCAATGCAATTGATTTGATTGAATAAAAAAGTCCTTGAAAGGATATATGGTGCACATTTTTAAATGCAACAAGCCCAATAATTGGTTTAACTGTAAAAATAAATTGTATCTAGAGATATCTATCCCAGCCAGTGGTGATGTTTTATTGGTTTTTGCATTTTACTAACTGATGTGCTTTCATGTAAAATCAATATTGTGCAGTCAAATATATTTTGCTTTGTTTTGTAGTAGGTTCAGTTAGCTAAAATATAATTTTAAACATGGCATAACTAACCTTTACTTTACAGTAAACCTTTTGTGCAGAAATGAAGGGAATATGTAAAAAGACACTTTTAGCTTCCTAAATATTCTATGGAGTGCCTTGCATAATGTATAGATTTTTCATGTGCTTCTGCAGCATTTTACTTTGCTAACTCTCAGCCTTTTTAATTAAGTCCCTAGCCATTCCTCTGCAAGTAATTGCCATCTGTGGAATATTAGACACCATTTCAAGTGATGCATACATACCTGCTTAGCAGAGCTGTGTAAAACTAGGCATCATACTTTCTACCTGTACTGAAACTGAAAATGCATTTGCATTCAATATTTTTTTAACCTATCACGAAGAGAAGATCTATTTCTCCATTTAGTCAATGTTGACACTTTTAATATAACTGAAAAGCAGTTTTTTTATAAAAAGCCTACAATTAATATAATTATTTTTAATTTTTTTTTTCTTTTTAGTTATTATATCTTCCTCACAACAGGGGAGAGCTGAAGTCAAAAAGGGAATCTGACATATCTCACATTATTAAGTTACCTAAATGATCAGGGAAGTTCCACTGCCACTACAGAGAATGTAAGCGTAGCCAGAATGTTATAGAAGAGAGTTCTAATGGATACAATTCTTCAGTTCAAGGGGATGCAGTCAATACAATTTAAAATGGCCATTAAACATTTTTGTTTTCTTAAAGTTTGTACCTCTCTCATCATTAAGGAAAACAGATTATTTTAAAAAGCTGTTAGTGTCCAAAGGAGAAATTTATTTCAAAGATTTATTTCAATGTGGTTTCATGATGTACAGATTGAAGAAGCCTATGAAGAAAAGAGATTTTTGTATGTACTATTTTAGGGAAGTAGAATTTTATGTCTTTTTGTCCTCAAACTCCAAACTACAGTGGTCTGTCCAGTTTTTTATTATCCCTACTGCAGGATGATGAATAGAGAGAGGCTATTTTTCTTTATCTTTCCCCTCTCAGTGGTCTTTAGGAGGTAGGTAAAATTCTGTGGATTGCTTTGCAGAGCTGTAATTATTGTAGAGACATACATTTCCACATTAAAAAAAAAAAAAAAAAAAGAGGTGCTTTCTGCACCATGAAGTTTGCATACAGAAAATTGGTATTTCTAAATACTTCTTCCAACCCTACAATTCTGAAACACTCAAAAGGTTTTAAAAAAATAAAGTAATAGATAGAGAAAGTAAATATACACACTGCTTATTGAATTCAACAGAGCAGAGAATTTTTTCTGAACTAGCGATTTCATAGACCAGTTTTACACTTTTTAGTCATGCCTTAAAACAATTGAGCACATGCCATAAACATCGAGTTGCTGGAAAATGAAGAGTCGTGAACCATTCAGAACCCAAGTGAACTAATATGTCAGAATGTTATAGCTTCAGAATGTGTGAAGTGAATTTTAAAACCACTTTGGTCAAGCACTTTTTGAAAGACATTTGCATAAAGACATACATTCTTTCAAACAAAAGATTACCAGGACATGGAATGCTGGTTTTTAGAGAGACTTTGCTAAAGAAAGAGAAATAAGTTTGAATCTGTTTAAATCAAACCTTTATCAATATTTAGGACTATTTGGATAGGATATATTATTGTGCAATTCATTATGGTTGAAATGCTACATGTCTGTAATTGTCATCATAGAAAAAAAATTTTTTCCCTCCTGTCTCAGCTAAAAAGTAACGAACAGAGAAGCTGAGTAGGAAACTGAGATTGATGAAGGCCATGGTTACTAGAGAGAATAATATTTGAATAGATGTCATGAGAAAAAGAAACCACTGCAAATTACACCGCTTGCCTTAAAAACCAACCTATTCAAAGTGCTATAGAATAGCATTCAAATGGAAGGAAGATGTCTCCAGAGCAAGAAGATTTCTGGCACAAGTTCTTAAAACTAGCAAGGGCAATGAAATTTGTAAAGGTTTATGGAAAAACTAGGAACTTCCTTTTGGTTGGCACTCATCAAGCTACAAGTTTATCTGGTGCCTATTGTAATGGAGTCTTATTTGGGGTAGGGGACAAAGCTGGAGGCAAAAGTATAATCCATCTAATAATAATATTAATATTAATAGTGTCACATGAGGCCCACACTGCATAAAATTCACATATCATAATGTCACAGTTACAAAACCACAAAAAAAATCCCTCTGTCTGCAATTGTTGAGATTCTTTAATTATTGCACCCATTCATTGCCAATTATACCAGGAAAAGGATGTCATGCTGAGGAATATCTTTCACTAACCTCACATGTTTTCAGCTGCTTGTACTGCAGACTTCACATCTCCCTCAGTGGAATTCAGTTGAGGAAACATACTGTCCAGAAGACAGACATTTTACATATGCTCTAGCACAAAACAATGGCACCTTCGACCACAACCTGCTGGTTAACTTGGGTCAAAGTTTTGTACCTTTATAGTGTAAGAAGTCAGCTAAAAGCCAAGCAACACAACTAGGTCATATTTACTGTCCGACAAAATCTGCTGGCTGGGGAATTAGTTACAGTTCATTTCTGGAATCTGAAAAAAAAACATGAAATGATAATTTTTCATCACTAACAATAAAGCCAGGACAGCCCCAGTGACTGAAAACTATCATGGTGGTAAATCTTGCATTCACCAGATCTTCCACCAACTGAACCTCTGTTTCCTACTCATGCTAGTATAGGTGCTACACAAGAGATTCAGTTAAAAGAAAGAATTCCTTCAGATACTTACACTGGATGATTTTTGTTGGAGGGATAATTGATTGAAAGGAAAGCCTTGAATTCTAATTAGAAGTATCTAGAAAAATTCTAAAGTATGTGCGTGTGAAGGAATATTTACAATTACAATGAAAATGAGTAAGAGGCATTTAGAAGTGAGGCTCACATCTTTTGCACAATTTCTTCTTTCTCTTTCTTCTTTCTCTTTCTCTTTCTCTTTCTCTTTCTCTTTCTCTTTCTCTTTCTCTTTCTCTTTCTCTTTCTCTCTCTTTCCCTTTCCCTTTCTCTTTCTCTTTCTCTTTCTCTTTCTCTTTCTCTTTCTCTTTCTCTTTCTCTTTCTCTTTCTCTTTCTCTTTCTCTTTCTCTTTCTCTTTCTCTTTCTCTTTCTCTTTCTCTTTCTCTTTCTCTTTCTCTTTCTTTCTCTTTCTCTTTCTCTCTTTCTCTCTCTTTCTCTTCAGAGAATAAAACTAGAAAACCCCTAAGCCACTGAGTGGAACCCTTTGCTTCTCCAGAGACTGCATTATTTAGCAATTTCAGAAATGCAAAGACCTTCTCAGAAGCCTACTCCCACATGTTCTTCTGTTGGAAGATAGACCCAGAAGTTCTGACATCTGGAAAGTTTCTTTTCTGCTCTAAATGGATTTTGGCATCAGTGAATGTTCTTTAAATGTATCATATCTTTAAATGACTCTTCTCTATCACTGCCCTGTATACAATGATTTTTTTTGTAGGCAGTAACCATATTTCCTTTCAACCTCACAAGCCATGCTTGAAAGACTGCTTTCAAAAGACAAGGCTTTCCATTTCTTTGATAATCTTTGATTCATGAAAATGAAGTCTAGTGTATTTCTTTTCTCTATGAGGTATGCTACCTTTTCATCTTGTTAGGTTATAATTTTGGTAAACCCACACTGCATTTCAACCTTCTTACGCTTTATATCTAAATTTTTAGCTTTCTGTCATAAAGTCTTCCCTTCCTTATTTCATAATTAAATAGTATCACACTTGTTAGTTTCTGTCTAAAAATATCACCCTTTTAATTTCATGTAGAGTTCTTTCAAAAATCTGAGAGGGAGATGATCCTGTTCTCAGCAGACAAACACATTGGGTTCCAGGGAGAGCAGCCCACAAGTTCATGAGTGATAATGCATGATGTTTTTTGGTACAAACCTACTGCACACAGAAAAAGCCTGACCCAGTCAGGATACGACCTGATCAATAAAACAGTATTAACAATGAGAGTTTTTCTTTCCACATTAGATACATCAGCATTAGATGCCACTAGCATACTTATGTAAGACTATGTTAAAGAGAAGGAATAATGACAGGAAGATATATTTTATAATGTGTGAAGTTGAACTGTAGACCTGATACCCAAAAATGCAAGTTGTGCCTCTTCTTCATACTGAACTGATCAGATGTGCAATAATTCAGGAATTGTTCAGAAATAATTTAGTGCATTCATTTATACTAAAGGGCTTTTGTGCTGTGATATATGAAAGATAATGATTAATTTCCTGAACAAACCAGCAAACACCATCAACTTTCCACTTTTGTCTTCTTACTTTTAAAAGTAGAAAAAATGCAAGCAGGCACTGACTGGGCTAGAAGACTATGATATTAAAATGGCCTTTTTTTCTTCTCATATACTTCTGCTTATTTGTATTCTTAGGTATAATTGTGCAGTGGTTTTGCATAGTTGAAGAATTTGTCATTTTTAAAAAAGGAAATAGTTACCTCTGTAATGGCTCATTGATCAAGCCAATTGAATGGATGGACTCCTCAGCAGGGACCGTTGATCCAAGGAGGAGAGTTTCCTTTGCTTCTCGTTCTGTAGCCAGAAAAAATGGCACTAGTTTATATTCAGATCTCAGTGGAGATATTGCTAAGAAACTTGAGAAAGACATAAAAGTTTATAAATCAGGTTTTAAAATGTAAAACCACAGTTTTCAATGGCGATGATTTCCTGTATATCCCTGGCAAAATGTTGGTTTCAGTCGTGATTCATCAGGGAGAAATACAGTGCAGAAGGAAAAAGAAATTGGACAGCAGTGCTTTTGTAACTACTGAAATGTAGTCTGACTCAATGGAACAATGAAGACTGCTGTGCTTCACAACCCTGGTCACCCAGGGAATTAGGTCTTCGTCTTTTCATACCATCTACCTGCACATTCCTTTAATAATTATTTTTTTCTAATACACATAAGAGGAAGAGATTTTCATGGACTTTGATGTCTGTACTGGAGCATCTTTAGCTGAAACTAGAGAAACTCATCTATAATTCTTAATATTATACAATTGTAAATCACAGTTACAAGAAAATTAATTTCAAACAAACCTATAGATAGCAACTTTGGTAGCAAAGAAATTTATGTGATGTTTTCTGACTAATAAGTTATTTTACATTTTATTTATATATGGTTTTCAACAGTCACCATCTGTTTATATATTCAGTATTTAAAAATTATTATTTCAAGCATTTTGCTGTATATCACATGCTAAATTCCCAATTAATACATATAATTGACAAAGGTAATAAACAAATGGCATAGATGACTTGGCTCAAAATAAAAATAGCTCTGATGATACACTATTCTAAGTGTTCCTTTAGAATAATTATCTTACATATGTAATGGTGGTTTTTTTTAGAAAGAATGGGCAGAACAGAAGCATGCAAGTAAGCTACTTCAATTACATGTATATTTGACTATATAAAGCTCCAGTCATAATTAGGATGGGGTGCTCCAGTTACACCAACAGACAAAAACCAGAATGTTACACAGCAGTTAGCCATTTTTTTAGTTTTGAAACTTTCCTTCCCTCCAGCCATGAGCTGTAATGTGTTCTGATGAATATACCTAAATGAGTTGCTTCTTGTCACAATTAAAGGGGACAAAAACCCCTCATTGCCATCACTGAAGAAGCAAATTTAATGACAACAGTGACAGAAAATGAAACCTTTCTTCAACATCTTATCTTCTTTAATGGGCATATTTGCAATAACACTGATTGTATGAAGAACATTATTTTCTTGATTTGCAGTCTAGACTAGATATTGCTACACCTGGGACTCTTAAGATTGACCTACATCTAACTCAGATCAAGCAGATCCCCTGTGGTGCTTTGCCTGGTCATATTACCTCTGCTGCTAGATGGCCTGCCTTACTCAGGAAAGATTTTTTTTTTCTCTTGTCCCATCTGGATTGCATGCTAGAAGTTGAAAGTGGGCAGGAAAGGTCCAGGTTTCAGCTCCAAACCTTTGCCATCCTTGTCCCTGCACAGCCTCTGCAGCAATTCACAGTCAATGGCTCTAACAGCCTGGATGTCATTGCTCCAGTAAAGAGCAGCCCCTCAGCATTGGTTCAGCTCAGCTGCTGATTGCTCTGTCACACACTATCTTGATTCCCTCACTATGTGTCAAGATGCTGCTGCAGAATGAATGCTCTAATTCACCATGAAAGTTACAATCACAAGACAAAATGGAAATGATAATTTGATAGCGACAGATCCCCAAACTGGCGTTGACTGTGCAGAATTTCTCCTGCCTCCCTTCTTCAGCTGTCTCCTTTTTGTTACAAGGACAAACTTTGGTATACCCAGTCACTGTTATTTACAAATTACCTGTGGCTGATACAACAACAAGGCAGTAGGCAGAAGCCACTCCCTGTTGGCATTTGGGTGATTGTAACAAAGAAAATTATGGTGTTTGAATGCTGCTTCTATCAATATCACAAACATGACAGTAATTTTTAGACCAGAATACAGAAATATTTTTTTTAAAAAAGACCTGTTAATATTAGTTTGAATATTAGAAGGCTAAATGAATACACTAATATATTTTGAAGGTGCCATTAAGATAACACTGTCTGACTTGCACAAAAAAGATCAGAGATTTCATTCAGTTTTCCCATAGCACACAGTAACCCACAGAGGCATAACAGATTGTCTTTTGGAAACTCACCCATTTTGATTTAAAGATTCCAAGTGATGAAAAAGATTACTGTATCACTTGGAAAATTCTTGCAATAAATTGTCCTCACCATCAAAAATTACCTTTTATTTCCATGTTGGGCTCTACTGACTTCTACCTATCAATGGACATTAGGTTTCTTCCTGCAAGATGAAACAATGCCCTAAAACAAGTTATTTTTTAGCTAATAACAGACCACAGAAAGATTTGTTTTCCTTTAACTTCTGTGACTATTCCAATAGGCAATTTTCTTGATAGAATGATGAAAGGAAAAGGTGACTTGTGACCACATACAATGAAATAAATTGTATTTCAGACTGCTACTTATAAAAATGTGCTTACTAAAGAAATAGCTCAAATAGTTAGCCAGCCAGCAACTCCAATCTTAAATTATGTTTGGGAGTAAATTATTTTTTTAACATATTGTTGAATTATTTCCTTCAATATTATATGACCTTCATTTAACTGTTTTGTCTATGGGTTGTTCAATACTCAGAACTCATGTTTGATTTAGTATTATGTGCAGAAAAAAAAAGACTTGAAGTATTTTTTGGGCTTGGGTTTTTTAACTAGCAACGACTAATCAGTTTGCAGATAGAGAATATAACATGCATATAAAGTAAATGTTTTCCTTGGTTGACTTGATTTCTAATTAAAGATTTTGTATTCCCAAAGCATAACATTTTTAATTTTTTTTTTTTTTTTGTAGTGGAGGGAAGTAAAGTGGTATAGTGCTGGAATCTTTTGTGCAGTGTCTTGTTAAGAAAATGTCTGATCTAGAAGGGTTCCTAGATGATAAATCAAGAATGGTTTCCAAATGTATTTATTTGGTTTTATCTTCCACAAAGAAAAACAATTTCATTTCATAAAGTAAGAAGTAATGTCAAATGTATATGTAAATCTGTTTGAGACTAAACCTTTTTTTTCTGTTCTGTAGATTTTAAACATGATGGGTTTCAGCAATATATGTTTAATTTCTCCACTTCTACCTCTAATAGGATTGTTGAAGAATGTTTATCAGCTAGAAGACTTGAAAGCATACAACCAACTGACCTAAACCCATAATTGTAAAACTTATATGCATTCATCAACCCTGAGTCTTCTTTCCAGGTAGCAAGGTCTAACTTTGCATTCTAAAAATTTCCCCTTTAATATGCTGCAAGGTTCAATAATTTTTCTCTCTTTTATTTACTATAGTGTCAGTACTGGTCAGCTCACCTTGCAGTGGATATTTACTACACTGAGTAATACAATGTCACTTAGCCCCTCCAAATGGTCTTTCTTTACCATGGAGAAAGTAAGCTCTGGTAGAATCTGTATTAATATTTGTGTGTAAAAAGAAATTCTGAGGTCCTGTATGGATAAGGAGGGGTTTGTGGAAGGAAATAGAACATCCATATTGAGAATATATCTCCTGCTGATGTAAATATAAATTACAATTAGATCAGTGAGCAAGATATATCCTAACGTAAACCTTGTCTTGAATACAAATTGCACATCAAGTAAAATTTATTAGTGATATGGCAAAGTTCTTTCTCTTTTAAACTATCAGTACATTATTTATCTTGCATTTTTAAATTCTTTTCAATGTTTAATAAAAGCAGTAAGAAGCTTTTATGCAAAGATAGCATAAGATGACCTGTAGCTGTTGTCCCAGATGTCAGTAAATTTAATCGTGTAAAAGCTTGAATTTAATTTCCTTTTCTATGCTGCATTTTTTTGAACAATTGGTTGGCATATTGTAATACCCAAATCTCTGACCAAAACATGCTGCTGACAAATGGACAAACATCTTATTTGAGAATGAAAGAGGGATTTGGCTCTTTTTCAGAGCAAGGCAGGACTATGATCTCTGTGATATGCTTAAAATTTTTACAGAGAAAAGCGTTTCCAAATAAGGGTAGTGGTTTTTTAGGTCTGAGATCTCCCTGTGAGTCTATGCTTAGGAGGTATTTTGCAGATTAGGTGGTCATGCTTCTGTTCTGCACATTGTGGTGGGAAACCCCTCTGCAATCTCCTTAGCTGCTGTGTACCAGCTGCTGCTGCCTGCTGTGAGTGAGCAGTTCCCATGTGCTTCCTCCTCCTGCTGAGCTATCAGTCTCCAGTCATGAAGGCAGATTCACTTCTAAGCAGATATATCATATTAATTTCTGATGGTCAGTGAGTCATTATGTAATGTCATTGTCGACCTTTAATAATCAGTTTGGTTTTTTCCATATATTCACATTTTAATTCAATTTCCAGCAATTCCATCTAGATCAGTATACTAAACACGTGCATGAAGCTAAATAATCTAAAGATAGGATGTCATAACAATAGTACATGACATACATTTTTAGAAGGTTTGTACAATGAGATTGTATTGATTCATAGCAAAGCCAATGTTTGTGCTTTCAGAAGTAAACAGTATATAGCTGCACATTTAATTCATGAAAAAATGTTCCATTTTAATGTACAGCAATCAGAAAAATATGTACATATGTATAATTTTATGTATGAAGAATATCTATTACAAAAGCAAATGGTCATTTATACATAAGACAACCACAGTTGTCTTTTGTAGTACAGACTCTGCCACAACACAAGCAAACATTACAGGCCAGAGAGAATAATTCAGTGTGAGAGCTCCTTACTTTGTGAATAAATCAAGGACTTCAGTTCAGATAGAACTATTCAGCCAGGCTCAAAGGAGAGAAGGCACAAAGGATAAATCACACAGTATGCTGCAGTATCTTGGCTTAAAATTTTCACAAATGGAAAACACTCAGTACTACAATTGCCATTCAAAGCAATACACCATTCAGTGCCAGAATTGTCACATAAAGTCATGTTTTGCTTCATTTACTGCCAGATGCCATTGCTCCTGAATGATGTCTTTCAAGAGACAATGCCTGGCATTCTAGATCATTGCTGTTCCACAGCAGCACAGAGTAGAAGGCACAGAATCTCTCAGCTCTAGAAAAATAATGTCTCATAACAATCAGGCAGAACCTTTAGAATTAGCTTCAATGAAGAAGTTTTAACAAAAATATTACTGCTCAACTGCTCAGAACTGGGAGAGCCCCCAAATTTATTCTCAAAAAGAACTCAGCATTTTAACAGGTTCTTAGTTACATTTTGAACTGGTTAGAATCGTCCAGCAGAAATTTCAATGAGTTAATGTGTATTTGGAACATTCTGGGAAAATCTTCGTTAAAATAAATACGAGCATTCAAATAAGT